TTTGTTTTTTTTAACGCCGTGTATGAGTGATAACATGATAATTTTCTTTCTCTGATTGACTTATTTCACTTGGCATAATACCCTACGGTTCCATCTGCATTGTTGCAAATGGCAAGATTTCATCCTTTCTGATGGCTGAGTAATATTCCATTATGTGTGTGTGTGTGTGTGTATGTGTGTACATACACAGTGTGACTATTGTGGACATTGCTGCTATAAACATTCGGGTGCACGTGCCCCTTCAGATCACTACATTTGTATCTTTAGGGTAAAAACCCATTAGTGCAATTGCTGGGTCGCAGTACAGCTCTATTTGTAACTTTTTGAGGAACCTCCACACTGTTTTCCAGAGTGGCCACACCAGCTTGCATTCCTACCAACAGTGCACAAGGTCTCCCCTTTCTCCACATCCTCACCAATACCGGTTATTTCCAGACTTGTTAATTGTAGGCATTCTGAGTGGTGTGAGGTAGTATCTCACTGTGGTTTTGATTTGTATTTCCCTGATGCCAAGTGATGTGGAGCACTTTTTCATGCGTCTGTTGGCCATTTGTATGTCTTCTTTGGAGAAAATTCTATTCATGTATTCTGCTGATTTCTTCACTGGATTACTGGTCTTGAGTTTGATAACTTCTTTTTTCTTTTTTTTTTTTAAGATTTTATTTATTTGACAGACAGAGATCACAAGTAGGCAGAGAGGCAGGCAGAGAGAGAGGAGGAAGCAGGTTCCCTGCTGAGCAGAGAGCCCGATGCAGGGCTCGATCCCAGGACCCTGGGTTCATGACCTGAGCTGAAAGCAGAGGCTTTAACCCACTGAGCCACCCAGGCACCCCGAGTTTGATAACTTCTTTATAGATCTTGGATACTAGCCCTTTATCTGGTATGTCATTTGCAAATATCTTCTCCCATTCTGTCGGTTGTCTTTGGCTTTGTCAACTGTTTTCTTTGCTGTGCAGAAGCTTTTTATCTTAATGAAGCCCCAATAGTTCATTTTTGCCTTTGCTTCCCTTGCCTTTGAAGGCACGTCCAGCAAGAAGTTGCTGCGGCTGAGGTCACAGAGGTTGCTGCCTGTGTTCTCCTCTAGGATTTTGATGGATTTTTGTCTCACATTTAGGTCTTTCATCCATTTTGAGCTTATTTTTGTGTGTGGTGTAAGAAAATGTTATTTCATTCTTCTGTATGTGGCTGTCCAATTTTCCCAACATCATTTGTTGAGAGACTGTCTTTTTCCCATTGTCTATTCTTTCCTATTTTGTCTAAGATTAGTTGATTGTAGAGTGATGGGTCCATTTCTGGGTTCTCTATTCTGTTCCATTGATCTGTGTGGAAACATACAATTCCTTGAGAGAGATGAACTATCAACATTCAGTCAAGGAAAAAATATAACCTCAGTAGCTCTATCTCTTTAAATAATGTATCAACATATAAAAAATGATACAAGCATAACCAAGTGGGATTTATTCCAAGGACACAAGGTTAATTCAAAACTTGCCAATCAGTTAATATAATCTTCCATAAGGATATATTAATTTTTTAAAAGTTCTCAATGGGTGAAAAGACATTTGACAAAATCCAAAACACTTCCTGATTAAAAAAAACTCTCAGCAAACTAGAAATAGAAGATATCAACCTTAAAAATAAAACGACCAGCTATGTTACTAGCAAACTGAGTTTATTCAGGAATAGCAGAGGAATTGCAGTCTGGAGCGAGGCAAACTAAGGTGAGCCACAGGCAGTTCCAAAGAGACAAAGGGAAGGTCAGTTCTTATTTGGTTTCAGGAGAAAGTTGAGAAGGGCTGTTTTGAAGAGTCTATTGGAGAAAACAAGAGTTCACGTTTGTGGCATTTCCTCATTGGTGGTAAGTGGTGGTTAGTTCGTGTGTCATTGCTAGGGCAGGGAGGGGTCTTCCTTCCTTTTTTTAAGAGCAGGAGATTAAATTCCTATGGGGAAAATGTCCTCCTTCTTCAAGATAACTCTTATCTTCTCCTCCCTGGTGGCGATGCAGGCTGCAAGGAGCAGGACGTGCATGAGAGTGCTTCTTTGGGGCTTCCTGACTCCATTTGCAAGAGGTTTCCTCTATTTTCACAAGGAAATGTCCTCTTACTGATAAGAACAGCTACCAAAAAAAAAAAAAATCTACCACTAACATTATTTTTTAAAGACTGGACGCTCTCCAAGATTGGGATGAACAAGGAGAAATGCTCTCAGTCTTCCCATTCAGTATTGAACTAGAGGCCCTAGCCAAAGAAATTAGATAGAGATTGAAGTAAAAGTCATCCAGTCTGGGAAAAAAAAGAATACTCTTTTTATGTACAGATAGCACGATTGTATATGCAGAAAATCCTCAGGTGTCTATAAAAAAGTTACTAGAATAGATAAGTGATTTTAGCAAAGTTAAGATCAGTATACAAAAATCAGTTTTATTTCTATATAGTAGCATTTAGCAAGCGGAAACTGAAATAAAGATACCATTAACATAACATGAAATTACAAGAAATAAATATGACGGGAGACGCAAGACCACAAAACAGGGCTGAAAGAAACAAAAGCAGTTCTAAATGAATGGGAAGGTATACCATGTTCATGGACTGAAGGACTCTGGATAGTCAAGATATCAACTTTTTCAAACTGATGTCAGCATTCAGTGGGATCCCAAACAAAATGCACCAGGCTTTTTTGCTGGAAGCTGACAAGCTGTTCTAACGCTCATGAGGAAGTGCACAGCATCTAGGATAACGAAAAAGAACTTTATGAAGGAACAAAAAGTGGAGGGTGGTACTACCTGACTCAAGAACCACAAAGCTACAGCAAGGAAGACCGCTTGGAAAATTGGCATAAAAAGGAGCAGATAGGAGGGCGCGCAGGTGGCTCAGTCGACTGAGCGCCTGACTGTTGATTTCTGCTCAGGTCATGGTCTCAGGCTGGGGAGAAGGAGGCCCTGGTCCAGCTCCGTGCTCAGTGGGGGTCTGCATAGGATTCTCTCCCTCCCTCCCCCTCCCTCCCCCCACTCTCTAAATAAATGAGTAAAATCCTTTAAAGGACAAGCAAACAGACCGATGAAACAGAGCGCAGGTGCACACAGAGGACCGGGAATTTTAACACAGGCACAAAGGCCGCCCAGCAGGGAGGGGTCAGTGCTGGAACAAACAGCCGGAAACAGGGTAACCGCAGGCAGAAACGAGCCACCTTGAGCTGGATCTCAAGTCGGATCCCAAACCGACCCCAGATGCATGGTCAGCCGAGACGCGCAGGCACGGACATTTGCACAGCGCGTCACCGCCGCTTCGCGCCCCCGGGGACAGGTGCGGACAGCCGGGTGGGCGGAATGAGCGCGAAGTGGGCCACGACCGGACTCCGGACCTGCGAGCCGGGGCGCAGTGACCCGCAGTGACCCGCAGGCTGCGCTCACCTGGAGGCGGGGAAGGGGCCCCGGCCGGCGGCTGACTGCGGTGCCGGCCTTCGGGCGCGCGGATGTCGGACGCGGCCAACGTCAGTGGGGCTTTGGGGTCAGCACACCACGTGGCTCCCTGAAATCCCGAAGACGGCTCCGGCCCCGCTGAAACGCGAGATGCCCGCTCACTCCCACCCCGCAGCCCAGGTCCGCGGCCGGACGCAGCGCCGCGAAGCCCCAACCGCACCCTCCAGCCGGGGCTGGGCGCGGAGCAGCGGACCGCGGAGAGGCTCTGCCTCCAGCCCCAGCCAGAGCCGCACGGGCAGGGGCGGGGTCTGCGGCCGCACCGCGCGCCCTCAGCCCCCGCTCACAGCCCCTGTGATCTCCACCCCCGCCCCACTCCGCTCCCGTCCCACAGACCCCACACTTCACCTCGGCCCCGCCCCAGGCCCCGCCCCTGGCCCCGCCCCCGGTCTTCCTGCACCGTCCTGGCCACGCCCATCCCAGACCCCTCCCGATTCACCCCCTCCACCGCCTCAGGCCCCGCCCCATCTTGTCTCAAGTTCCGCCTCAAGCCCCGCCCCGTCCCAGATTCTGCCTCAAGCCCCGCCCAGCCTCTCCGCTGCCTCAGGCCCCGCCTCCAGACCCCGTCCAGTCCCGCCTCACAGCTCCGCCTCAAGCCCCGCCCCGCCCTCAAGCCCCGCCCCCGCCCCGCGGAGCCGCAGGCGGAGCCGCGTGTGTCCCGAGCGGCCGCCGCGGTGGGCTCAGGCCCGGGGTCGCCTCCGCGCCGGGGTGTGGCTCCGGGTCGGGCTTCGAGTGCCGGGAGCCCCGCGCACAGCGGCCTCCAGACGCGACCGTGCAGGTAAAGCTCCCGCCGCGCCCGCCCGCCCGCCGCCCGGGGTCGCGGGGTCGCGGGTCTGGGGTCTCGGCCCCGCCCTTTAGGCCCCGCGCGCGGCCCCGCCACTCCACGCCCCAGCGCGGCCGCGCGCCACGGCTTGGCTTTTCTCCTTTCCCTTCCTGCTCCCGCACAACCGAGAGGCTGGGCGCCGCCCCCGGCCGCGTGCTCGCCCGCGCGGGTGACAAAGAAGGGCTCCGGGTGTGGGCGGCCCCGCCCGGGGTGTCGGGGGGGCAAGCGCTGGTCCCCGACAGCCGCCGCCCCGGCCACCGCCGCCCGCCCGGCGGGCCCCGAGCGCGCCCCGCGGGTTTGCCGGTCCCGCTGCCCGCACCCCGGAGAACCCTGCGGCCTCTCTTCCAGTTTCCAGCCGCGGGGGTTCGAGCGGCGGTCCCTGGCCCGGCCGAGCCGGCCCCTGCTCGCCTAGGTGTGCCCTGGGTGTGTCCGGCGTTCCTGGACCCAGCCAGCGGTCAGCGCGACCGGCCCTTGCTCTTCTGGGGGGCCTTGGGAATCTCTGGAAATAAGTTAGAGACACCCCAACCCGCTGGTCAGACGCCTCAGGGTGCCCGTGACATCTCCCCCCAAAGTCAGAGTGTGCCCTGGGGCTCCCTGCGGGACCGCGGACCGCGATGCTGATCGCCGCTCTCTTTTAGAGCCGGAGAACACGGCTGTCCCTCGTGCCCACCGAGGGAGTGTTGATGCCCGCGCCACGGTCACCTGCACAGCGTCGGCTGCGGGAGTGAGGGAGAACGCAGGTCTGCGGCCCCCCGAGGGAGGAGACTGCCCTCTGTCCCCAGGTGTGGTCAGCATGGGCCCCGTGGGCAAGCAGAGCCCCTCATCTCTGCCCGTCCCCTCGGGAGGGTCCTGCCTCATCCTCTTCTTCTGCCTGCGCCTGGGCGCGTCCTGCCCGCAGAGCTGCCAGTGCCCTGAGCACGCCGGGGCCGTGGCCGTCCATTGCAGCGCGAGGGGCCTGCAGGAGATCCCCAAGGACATCCCCGCCAACGCTGTGCTCCTGAAGCTTGATGCCAACCAGCTCAGCCACATCCCTAACGGGGCCTTCCAGCACCTGCACCAACTGAGGGAGCTGGACTTGTCCCAGAACGTCATCGAGACCATCGGCCCCGCCGCCTTCTCGGGCCTGGCCGGGGGCCTGCGGCTGCTGGACCTGTCCCGTAACCGCATCCGCAGGATCCCCAAGGACGCCCTGGGCAAGCTGAGCGCCAAGGTCCGCCTTTCCCACAACCCCCTGCACTGCGAGTGTGCGCTGCAGGAGGCCCTGTGGGAGCTCAAGCTGGACCCCGAGTCCGTGGACGAGATCGCCTGCCACACGGCCGCGCAGGAGGAGTTCGTGGGGAAGCCGCTGATCCAGGCTCTGGACTCTGGGGTCAGCTTCTGCAGCACCCACCGCAAGACCACGGACGTGGCCATGCTGGTCACCATGTTCGGCTGGTTCGCCATGGTGATCACCTACGTCGTGTACTACGTGCGCCAGAACCAGGAGGACGCCAGGCGGCACCTGGAGTACCTGAAGTCCCTGCCCAGCGCCCCCGCGTCCAAGGACCCCATCGGCCCCGTGCCCTAGTGCCCACTGGACGAAGCAGAGCAGCACCTGTCCCCCGTCACTTCCGTAGCAGGTGACGGCTGACCCGTGCTTTTTGGGCCCCGAGCAGTGGGTCCTCACAGCACCCCCCACAGAGCCCTCCCCTGCGTTGCACTGAAGTCACCGCGCCCCACATCAAGTCCAAAACGTGACCATCGGGCCCTTGCACGGACCAGGAAGCCAGAGCTCGGAGAAGCGGCGTTGCCCACAGCCCCAGTCAGGCAGTGACCCCGTAGGGACTTCAAACCAGGCCGTCTGTCAATGACATTCCGTGTCCCTTGCGGTCTGCCGGCCTCATCCGTGTGGCGCCTGGAGGGTGTGAGTTGCACTCCGAGAAGCGAGGCTCCAGTCCACGCGCATGAGGTCAGCCCGCAGACGGCGGGGTGTAGACTCCTCTGCGGAAGGCAGAACTGACTTAGCTCGTCCCCCGGGTAGTACTTCCGGAACGCATGTGACCCAGAACTCTTTCCAGAGCAGAGTAGTAGAGACCAGGTTTTTCTCGAGAGGTGAGTGCAAAGTGCAGTTCAAACTAACCTTTGAACAACTTTGTTTATTCTCAGAGTGTTGCCAAGAGGAACACGTGTGCCAAGATTCCAGCCCGGGGAGAGGGGGCTCCCAAACCAAGAAAACCACGGATAGAGACCTGAGAAGGGCCCAGAGTGGATCTCTGGGGGCGGGGGGTGGTGTGTCCCTGCCCCGAGTGCCGCCACCGTCTGTGCCTGGTCTGGGGGGAGGCCTGTCGTCCTGGGTCTGGAGCGTGCCTCGCCCCTCTACTCACGGACTCCGAAAGCTGCTTCTTCTCCAGGACAGGAGGAGAGCTGTTCGGCGTGTCCAGGCCGGTCAGCGGGACGCTGCCTTTCCTCCAGCAACGGGAAGTCTCTGCCTATCTCCCTGCCCGCCCCCCTGCCTCCGTCCGTCTTCACCTCGGCCGCCGGGAGCCTCAGAACCTCAGAGCTAACTCACACTCCCTCAGCCGTGCCCGTTGACGTTCAGGGTACACGTTACCTGCACTTACGTAACGTGAGCCGTCTTTCTAGTTTTATTTTTTGATGTCTTTTGTAAGAGTACTTATTTTTAAATTGCTTCAGGTGTATGGGGGGGAGCACAAATAGGGATAAATTGCTTATGAACTGAAGGTATGTGCAGGTTCCGAGCCTCATGAAGCAGATGCTTAGAAGGAATTACAACAGAGGGTGGTTTGCACCCGGAGAGCGTCCCGTGACCTCAAGTGGGCCTTGAACGCGGATCCCATCGTGCCACGATTCAGAGATGCAGACCGCACAGCTGATGCACAGAAGGCCCCTCCACACAAGGTCCTGATTTTTCCAGTGATGCTCCTGAATACGTCCCACAGGCTAGCACCCTGCTTCTGCGCCCACCACCCAAGCCGGGGGTGCGGGGATGGAGGGCAGGGCCTTAGCTCTGGGGCAGGGGCACCTGTCCCCCTGCCCGGAAGCTCACCATTTCCTCTTACGCCGGAATCAGCCCAGAGCCTAGGTTCCACCCAATACAGGCTCTTCGTGGTGGGCGAGTGTATGGGGAGTGGGGGGTGGCACTGCCCCTTTCCGAGGACCCCGGACACACCAGGGCTGCTGGGCCCTCCTGGCCTTTCTGGGATCACCCTTTACGGGGAGGCATCCCAGAGTGGACACCTCCCTCCAGGGAACCCCACCAGGTCCCTAAACTCCAGGACCACGGAGCTTCTTTCTGCTCATGGGAGCTCTCAGCCCTGGTACCGGGGAGCCCTCTGCTCTCCCCGTTTCCCTCTCCCTTTCTCTCCCCTTGAGGGACGCCTCAGGACAACACCCCAGCTGGGCCCAGCCCCTGCCTTGCTGCTGCATGTGGGCGCATATCCCTGGAAGCCCCCGTGGGCCCTACAGCTGACTCAGCCAGCACCCCGGCCCTGAAATCTGTAGAGACTGGCTGGGGGTGGGGCGGTCAAGCTTGCCTCGTTGACAGAATCAGTGTTGATGGTGTCAGGTACGAGACAAAGGGGGGTCCTGTCTGTCGGGGTGGGGGGTCACAACCCTATGGGACACAGGTGGCCCCTGACTCTCACTGTGATCCGAATGGGGACTCTCAGAGCACTTTGTACAGACACACAGCCTGGGCTGCTGAGCGCCCTGGCCACAGGAGGTAACGCTTCACAGGTCAGGGGTCAGGGCAGGGTGACTTTGGGGCTCCCCATGGGGCAGGGAGCTGGAACAGCCACCCCTGCTTGAGGGTTGACAGGGCCTCCCTTCCTTCCGATGGGGGTCGGTGTTGGCACTCTGGCTTTGAGGGAGACCTCAGGGCCGGCGTGGGGAAGAGGGCCAGGGAGGGGCTGGTGGAACAGGTGGGGGCCTGGTCGCCCAGCCCAGCTGGTCTGGTTGGGCTGCTCCCTCGGTCCCCAGTCTCTCCACCGGTGCTCCTGGTATCAAGATCCCCACCCCGACCCTGACCCTAGGAGGGTGCCCCATGGCACCCCAGCCTCCCTCCTCTTTGGGTTTCGGGGTCACTCCCTCGGGTGGCCCAGTGTTAGGGATGGGCCATCCTGGCACTCAGGGGCTCTCTGTGCTGGGGTGGGGGGGCTCCCAGCTCTGTTCCTGAAGCCCTTCCCAGGCCACTCCCGGGAGCTGCCTGCGGACTGTAGGAGGCAGGACGGGCACCCCAGGATGGCTGCAGGGCCAGGACTGGGGGCGCTGGCCCCTGCGGACATGGAACAGCTTCCCTTGTTCACCCTACCCTACAGCCTGGAACCCAGAGACCACCTCCCCCCGCAGGGCCACCAGTCCCCAGCTTGGCCTGCAGCGGGGCGGGGGGGGGGGGGGCTGTTTTAAAGTGGATGTGAGTTTGGGGAAGCCTGGCCTGGATGTGTTTCCTAATGGACAGCGGCTGCGGGTAGGAGATGAGGGGGTCCGGGGGTTAAAGGGAGGGTCGGCCACAGGCGCAGCCCAGGGGCGGCTAGCATTCCCACAGGGGTCTAAGGCCTGTGTGCAGGGGGGCTGGAGTGGGGCTGGGCCAAACTGCAGAGCTCCACCCAGGGCCAGCAGAAGGCCGTCGGCAAAGGCAAGCCAGGGTGCGAGGCGCGCTCTCCTGGGAGTTCTGAGTGGCACAGCGGGGCCCCGGCCACGGGCACTGGGACCCCCTCGGTGGGGCATGCACCGGCCCTGCCTGGCTGGCTGGCTGGCTCCCCGGGCAGTCCCCGGCAGAGATGGAACATTCTGGAGTGGTGGGAGCTCCCAGCGCAAGCAGGAGCCTGGCATGGTTTCTGGAGCCATCTTTCCGGAAGCTGCGTCTCAGGTCTGACCCACTGTTCTCCCCACTGCCCCTGAACTCTCAGTAAACCTCGTTGAGCTTAAGTCCTCTGGAGTGGATTCTGTTATCGGTTCCCCCGTGGCCCGCCTGACCCAGATCCCCTCTCCCCACCCCAGCTTCACGGCCCACCTCGCCACCTAGCAGAGCGGCCACACCTGTCAGACCCAGGAGCCCACGCATGCAGGAGCCCTGTCGGCAGGCGGCCGCGGTGGGCGCTGGGGCCGGCTCGTACGGGCTCGAACCAGTCCTGGCGGCCAGTAGGTAAATCTGGGGGAGGAGGGGAGCCGCTTGACATCATGATGGCCCGTGAGGTTGCTCACGGCCATCGGCAGCCAGACTCCCCTCGCCGGCCCCAGGACACTGAGCCAGGGCGCCGCGCTCTGCTGCTGGTGGAGGGCTTTCCGTCCAGCCGCTCCCGGGCTGGTGCGAGGGTCACCTGAGGTCACCGCAGTCGGTGGTAAATCTGTGTCCCCAACAGCCTGTCCCACCCCAGGCCCTGCCTGTGCCCGCCCACCTTCTGTCCCGGGCTGTCCAGGCCAGGTCTCGTGTGTTCTGGGCGCTACCTCCTGCTTGCTGCACTGGCCCTGCCCCGTAGCTCCTGGTGGGGGTGGCGGGGGTGTCTCTCTGCCACCCGTAGGACTCCCCCTGCTTTCATAGTGTCACCTGGCCCTCCGTTCCCGAAGAGGTCCCCTGGTGCAGGAACCAGCGCTCTCTCCCCGTCAGTGCGGTTCTCCCTGGGGGAATGGTGCCTTTTTTTTTTTTTTTCATGTAGAAACTCGTTTTTTTGTAGTTTTACCTTTTCTAGAAGTTTCATGTAAGTGGAATCCTTTGAACACAAAACTGTTATCGCACCGAGAAATTACCGTGGCTCTCCAATGCCATTCAGCGGCCACACGTGCCTGACCGTCTCTAAATTTGGGGTTGGTTTGGGTGGGTCGCTCCATCAAGGGCAGACAGCGCACCTGCCTGGCACGGCCACTGGGCTCGTTGCATGGAAAGGCTCCTCCCCCATCCGTCCTCGCTTCCCTGCAGTTCTGTGGTCGTCCTGTGACCCGCCCCCACTGTCTGCATTTGCTGTGTCTCCGTCCCCGTTCCTGGGAACCTGGTGGTTCTGTTTGCTTTTCCTAGCAAGGCGGCGCTGTGGGTGGTGGTGGCGAGGGTGTGGTGTGAGCAGCCTCCCACGATCAACACCGAGGGTTGCTACCTCCCTGGGGCCCCTGCCCACGGATTCTCAGCTCTGTGGCCCCTTCCCCATCTGTCAGCCGCAGCAGCCTCACACACGGGTTCTCCGGTGGCCGTGTCATGTGGCAACGGGAGGGTGAATGTGTGGTTCTTCATCAGTTTTCAAAAGAAAGAGTTGGTTCCTCTGAAAATGACCGGTAATTTTGAAAGCATCGTTGTGCAGGAGTTTCAACACACAGACTGGGTTTCAAACCGCTTGGCTTCCTTTCCTGGGTGAAGCTCGAATCAGCCGCTGGGCAGGCGGGACCCTCCCGTGTGGGCCGAGTCTGGTGGGCGGCCCCCAGCTGGGACCGCGTGTTCTTGCCCCGCACCTCCCCCACTCCGGGCTCAGCCGCTGCTCTGGTCCTTTCTGCGTGGTGACATTGCTAGACCCCTGTGCCCAGGGGGTCCTTGTGCCCAGGCCCGTCCGGTGGACAGAGCTGTTTGAGAGAAAAGTCAGCCTTGGGTTCAGATGGATGCTTCCAGCTCAAGCCCGGG